AAGCTAGCTAGCTTTGTTCCTCGTTATTTATCGGCCACACATGTCGAGTTTTCCACGATGAATTTATATAATGTTTTCGTAAAACTACTAATGTCCGATGAGAATCCATTGAAGTTAAACGATTTGTATTGTTCAAACTTTATAAAGATTCCTGGTCAAATATCTGACGTTTTCCGATTGGTAAGCGTTAAAACAATCATAGTTATAGCTTCGAAAGTTTATAGCGCACTGATTATAGCAAACTAATGATAAATAGTCTCTTTGGCGCATCGCGTTGGTTATATTTATAGGCTGCGGAGGCTTTCTAGAAAATTCGGATTACGTAACAATACAAATTTAAGCGTTTACGTACATACACATATTGTTGATTCGTACTCTCGAGAATCTTCTAGAACTTTGGAGAATAGGCGGGAGTTTCGCAATACATATCTAACAGTATAAGCTATGCATGTTTTCAAATCTAAACTTAATCTAAATAAACGTTGATATTAGAATAAATATATAATAACAAATTCGTTACACTGGCCATGCCAGGCCAATATCCGCTGATAATAAATGAATTGCTCGTGCGACTTTAGTTGAAGTCTATTAACGAATAGAACTTTAAATAGAAACCAACGCTATTAATCATACGGCCATCATACGAAGAAAGCAAATCCATAATTTCCACATTGTTCAAATATCGAAACCAAAACCATCACTTTTACAAACATAATGAAAAATGTAACTTCTGAACATTCAGTATGACAATGTATTACATCCACAAAAACATTAATAAAGTATGCGAATGGACAAGATGATCCTAAAGAAACAGTGTTTAGGTGTTTGAGAAGAGAATTAAGTACAAACACAAACTCGCCAACACCTATTGCTTTTCCAATGAATCCTCATATATTCTAACAAGCCAAAATTATTTTGGTACCAGTCAACTTCAGTCCCTTGATCACCGTGCCAAAAATTATCAAAACCTGGTCTTTACATTTTAAGTGTTTTGTTTTAAGAATATGCAAAAACTACACTAATAAACACGAGCACACGCTAGTACATATATATATAGACGAATCAGTATAAATATATACTTATGTGCACACATAGAGCAATTAGATTTAATCCTGTTAAGAATCCAATAATAAAAACAAGCACTCATTTTATATTATGATGCTTTGAGATATCGTCATTGAAATTGCAATTATAATAGCGTCTTGGAAATTTCATAAAAAATTACGACTTTGAAGTAAGAAACGTAATCAAATTTTGTTTGTCTGTTTTCGAGTTTTCGTGCAAAGCTACTCAAGGGTTATCTTCCTTAGCCATCTCTAATTTTGAGCTGGTAGACCAGAAGAGAAGACAACTGGTCAGCATTATCCACCGTAAACGTTTGGGCTACACTTGCCTGACTGAATAATCGGATTTGTCCGTCACTCCTATAACGCACTCACGGCCCCAAAGAGCAGAGCGCGATTTTCTCAGGCGATAATGGGACACGAACGTGAGAAATGCAGATTCATATTCCGACATGCTAATCATTTGCTTACATTCGACTCACGTAATTACAATACACGCTATATATAATTGGAAATCTAAAATTCTGACCATCCAAATTCCTAACTCGTTTTT